AAAAAACTAGAACCTCGGTCTTTTTTTTCATACTGTTCCATGTCTATAATTTTCTGTTATTTCTGTTATTTATTTGGAGGAATTAGGGTTTTAAGAGTGATGGAGGAATGAAGTTTGTGTATCTAAAAGTTCTACGTGTGTACATAATTTCATGAAGAGGGAAGGATTTTGTGGGTTTCCAATAGTTTGTCTTATTGGGCCAACATTCGTTAAATTTTCACGTGGTAGTATAGTGCCGGTTCCACCGAGGGTTAACTAGCGGAACAATCTCCTTACTTTTATAAGCGTGGGCCAAACACTAAAATTCAGTAAAATTGGGAAATGGCCTGGAATATTAAAGGAATTGTGCATGGATCTCCACAAAAGGGTTTATTTATTCATTTTTTTTTTGTTCATTTTTTTTATCTGTCCTACCTACTTCTCCGCTCCTTCGTTTCATCTTCACCTCGTTATCTGCAAAAATATTTATTTTACTTTTAGGAATGAACTGGAATCAAAGATGAATTCTTTATGTATTGATACTGAAAAAGAAGCGGAAGAACTAGCGAAAAGCCATGAAGAATGCAATTCTAAGTTTAGAGAAATTGAAGAAAGGTCACTCATTCAATGGTGTTCTGAGAACTTTCAACATTCTGGCTTTAAGATTTGAACAGTCAACGTAGTTAGGCTTCCACCACTACTTTTGTAGCTTAAAAAAGTACTGTTGATTGAGGTTTATTAGTTTCAAAAGCGTCGTCAGCTTTAAATGTGTTTGTAGCTTTTATCAGCTTTTTATTATGATGTTAGGCTTATACTACAAAGGAAAATTGAAGGTTTAACGTTTTACGGCAAAGCTATGACACTAAACTGAATATGTTAACAAAGCGTTGTAAACAAATGGAAGCGAATGGTATAAATCTGACCCAAAAATATTTGGTAGTTATTAATTTTTATGGTTTTGAAGTTTTTAATTTTTTTTCAAACTGCATGTGTAACCGTGTGGCCAAGAATTTGCTGCAGGATATAAGAGGTTTTGTAGTACCAAATGTTAAGCCACTTCTTTTCATTTACTCCTGTTTACTTTATAGAAGTTGTTAGGAACCAATCGTAGATGTGCTGAGGAGATGCAAGCACAGAAAATTGAGTTGCCGCAGGACGTCGATCAGTTGCAGTTTCTTTGCTTACAGCTAAGAGAAGAACTGATTGAGACACGAGCGGCTAAAGAGCATATGGTTCGTGATTTTTCACTTTTTGACCTGACTTTGCGGTAGTTATTCTAGATATAATTTCTTAATTTTGATTTTTTTCATTCGCATTGTTCGAGCAGTTCTTCTTTATGACATTTTACAGGAAAGAGAACTTAAAGATGAAATAACAATGCTTCAAGTGCAGAGGAAAGAGGATGCTATAGAGAAACAAAGGCTAGAAGCTGCTTTAACTGCCCAGGTAAATGGTGTCAATGAGGAGCTAGGACTAGCCAGAAGCGAGGTTATTTTTTTTAATTCTTTGTTCGTTGTATAACAGCAAGATTTTGAAGTTCTTGTACTCTTTCAGCTTAGCACTCTCCACGGTGCCTCTCGAAGGGTGGAAGAGATGGATAAACTTGTTGTGAAATACCGTATTGTGATAGAAGAACTGGAGAAGGAACTAAAAAATTTACAGAAAGAACGCAAAGACCTTGAGCTTTCTGTTGCAACCTATAAACAGAAGTCAATTTCTTCGTTATTACTGGGCTTTGTTATTGAAAGAGGTTAAAGGATAACGGGATATTTTAAGGTGTTCGGCTTTGCAGCAGGAATTGGACACCAGTGAAACTGTTCAGAAGGATTTTGTGAAGCTTTCTCAAGACCTTCAAATTCAGTTGGAAAAAATTAGGCAGGCGGAACAGGTCTTATTTTTTTAACTTAAACAGTTAAGCCTTTGGGAAGGCTCAGAAGATATTCTTCAAAAAGCTTTAGGAAGTGAGGTGGCAGTTTGATGAAGACGTTCATGCCTGTAACGAATGTAGCCAGAGTTTTACCAAAAATCGTAGTAAGCTACACTGTCTTCACTGTGGCAAAATTTTCTGCTCAGAGTGCTTGAATTGTACTGTTCAGAGTGGCCCTCACGGTCGCGCAGCTAGAGTCTGTCAAGTATGCCATACTCTGCTGATCAGGTTAGGGTTTTTAGCCTTGGTAGGCCTATATCTTTATCCTGACTGAGTAAGTTTTAAATGCTTTTTCACATTACATCTAAAAAGTTTTATTTTCTAGAAGTATCTGGGTTTTTCAAAAAAACGAGGGTTTTTTGATGTTGTTTGACAGAAAATCACCTTTCTTTTAGAGCTGGATTTTTTTTTATGATTTCAGGGACGTTGCGCCTTTCTTTTCTCGTGCAGTGTCAGAAAATGCGTAGTGTTGCAAAGAGGTTTATTCTTCTCAAGTCTCACATACTTTTTTCTCTCAAGCTTACCGGTAACATATTTGTTGAAAAATTTGTAGTTTCATTATTTTTTTACGTTTCGCTTTTAATTGTCTCGTGTCAATATGCTATTTCCCTAAATTCTTATTTTGAAATAGGGTTGTAAAAATGGAACAATAGTTTTTGAGCGGTTGTTAAGTTCATCTTATATAGTTTAGTTCTTTTGTACACCATTGTAGTTGTTCTTCGCTTTTTTAGAAGTATTATGATATCATTTCTGGCGGGATCTACACAGACTTTAGTTCTGACTTAAACCCTCGAGTTGTGACGGGTTGCACGCCTAACACGTTTTTTTTTTTCACTCTTTTTCGTCCATTTTGTGATGCAGTTTTTGTGTATAGAGAGCTGTTTAAAACTTTTTTTGTTGTAACCGCCGTAAATGTTGCTACATTTTCTTGTGATAATAAGGTTTTTTGGTCTTTCCATGTTTATTGGGATTTATCTGCTTTATTCAAGTTCGTAAAACTTCAGGGCAGGATAAACAAGGAGCTACTTTTACTTTTTTCTTGGCAACCTTTCCATTATGATTCTGTTCACTCCCACAAGGGGGCAGTACCATGAAAAAAGGTCACTAAGCCGGCAGGCTGTTGATGAAATTTATGGGAGAATTTCCAAAATAGAGCATGCAAGAAGATAGGTGCAGTGTGGTTTGTGTTTGAGTGAAATGCGTCAAGAAACGGTAGAACTTTAATCAGTTTGAGTTTCAACATCTTTTTTTTTTCCTGGAGGGAATTCATGAACATCTTCAATTTGTTTTGCGGCATCCTTTGCTCCTAATGCCCGTAATCTGCAACCGTTGATCACAGTCAGCTGTTTAGTCTTCACACCGACTCCACAAATAAGAGATGAGCTAAATTTTATGAGCCATTTGCGGCTTTCACTACATTTGGGACAGTTGACAGCTGTAGGGTCGTTCTCGCTGTCATTATTTTCCCAAAAAAGGACATCGACGGGAGTATCGACGCTCACGCTCATTTCATACACGCCGTTCAGAACCACATACGTCAGTAAAATCCTGCAAAGGATAAAATAATAATTTTATTACAAAAATCATTTAGATTTATCTTTGCTCTAACAGTTGCTACTAGGCCTGGCTATTACGTAGTTTACAATTTAGAGCCTTACTTGTAGTTTCCTGTATCTGGGAGGACTAGTGCTGGTCTTGAAGCATGTGGAAACGCGTTGCTTTCCAAATAATAAGGTTGAGTTCCAGCCTCTAACATATTATAGAACTGAAAAAACTTATTTAGGCTTTCCGGTATTTGGTTGAGAGTGATATAACTACTGTGCATGATTTTACCCAACTCGAGGATTTTAATTTCATAACTAAACGATCTTTACTTTAACTTCTTCACTCATTTTTTGGCCGATTGAAAAGTTGGTTTCGAAGGGCAAAGCATTTATCCGGTGAGGGTAGAGTAATCCAGCTAGGCGGTCCCAAAACCTGCAGTACTAGTGAATGTTTCTGAGAAATTATTTAAAACGGGCAAAAGACACCGAATCACAATTTCTTCTCAATACAGAACCGCATGAATGAACAAAAGATGAGGAAAAGATGAGAAGCAGGAACTTCATTGAATTCGGAATTAGGTCACTCTGTTGGAACTGTTCCGCGATCCACCCTGGAGCAAACATTGCCACGGAAAGATTTGCAGCACGGGCATGCGCAAAAGCTTTGTAACAGTTCCATCCTCCACCGCATAAAAACCAACAAGATATAAAAGTAGTTTACTTTCGCAACAGCTAGCGAATTTCTACTGTTTTTTATATTCAGTTTCCGTTACCTCCGTACCAAATGAATCTTAGCTCAAACTGCTTTGCGACTTCTTTACAGAAATGAGTACTGACCGTAGTTTCCACGACCAAAGCAGTCGACTCCAACAAATACTTCATGGCAACGGGATCCTGCGATCTCTTGGCTTTCCTTTAGTTCATGTGGCCTCCATGTATAATTCAAAAATATCCCATCTGTCACATCAAACCACAATCTAAAAACCAGTCGTTTACTAAGAAATTACAGTATAATTAATTCATTAGGAAAATAATCCATGCACCCATTAATTCTCTAAAAAATGTTGGACTGTGTAAATGACCAAATTGGAGAGGAGGACTTCATACTTGTTTAAATCATTCAGCTGATCCTGCCACCTCAATTTTCCTTCAACGGTGACGGCGTCATACCATATAACTCTACTTCTCTCTCCCATTCTTATATGCATTCTGGTTGTCAATGTTGCAAGGAATAGCTCAAGCATTGGAAGGTTTTCTGCCTGATGACAGTACTTTTATCCACTAGTAAAAGCACCATGGATATTTAGGAAAGTTTAAGAAAAATCCAGCGTACGAGGATAGTAGTCCGCCGCTAAATTTTTAAAGTCCAAATAGTCTCCCGCAAAATCCGAATCAAAAAATTAAAGTGGGAATTTGGTCTGATTTGTTAAACTCATGAAGAATTTGCAGCCGGTGTCATCGTCTCCGAAATGAAAACTCTTACTTCAATTTTATTCTCTATGTTGATCAACCAACCATCGAAGTTATACACAGTTGCTAATTTAACCATTTTTTCAACCGTTTTTCTGACTGTTGTAGCATTTTTAAAGATTGCCTTGCATCTGTCAGCTCCTCTATCCCCTTCTGTGATAAATGTGCCTGAAATCTTCAGCAGTAAAGTGGGGTGCAACAAATGTTTAGCACAAAATTTAGATCAGAAGTTGAAGTCGGCAGCAGTTTGAAAGGATGGTACAGAAATTCTAATATACTCGAACCCAGAACTAGAACCCCATGATCGTGAGCTTGACTTATCCATCCTACTGGTGGAATAGAGATAAAGTGGTGGGAGAAATAAGTGAATATATCGACATACCACCAATGCATTAGAATATATGGCTTAATTCCGTCCACCACTTCACACCCATCGACACTAAAAGCACACAGTAGGTCGTCACACAACACAAAACCAACATGAAGACCCTCTATTGATGCACTTCCATAGCCTCTTGTATCACAAATACAGAACGACGAAAAAACCGAACTGCTTACCTTTCCTCAGGCAGATAACCACCCATCATGTCATGGCACACAAGCGTTTGCGGAACACCTTTATTCCCAGAATAATGCTTCAGGTCTCTTCCACATAATTCTTTACCCACAAAATTTGCATCCCAGCCCCAGAGACCGTCCAATGAGTCAATTGGACTAGTCATCAAACCACTCACCCCTCGTCAATGAAACTTCCTTCGCAGTAAAAACCTCACCGCAGAACCGGCGAATGCACTTCTACAATTACTAACAATAAAAGCCTCCAGCGCAACCAACCACGAAATGCGTGACAGCTAAAACCAGCAGAGAACTGTTGTTTAATATGAAAGAATAATTTCAAGAAAAGGGCGTGATGCGGGAAACCCACTTCTACTTGCAAGACATCAAACGTTTTATTTCATCGCGAAGCAGAATTTTATAAGGAGCTGCCTGCCAAGAACTTTTACTGATATTAGTTGCAATAGTGGTTAGTAGTTAACAATGGTAATAATAATGATAACGACAACAACAATAGCAATAGCATTAATGACAATAATAAAAAATAGCAACAATGATTGTGGTAACAGTAATAATAACAATAACAACAATAATGGTAACAATAATAACAATAACAATGATAATAACAATAATAATAATATCAATATCAATATCAATAATAATAATAATAATAAT